TTTATAATTCAGGCAAACAAAACAATCAACACTTAGCTTGGACGCTTCAGCCCGTTACCCCAGTCCGGTTTGGATGAACTGCTCTGATACCAAAATTGTAACACCTTAAATTTAATTTCAAATAAATAATAATTTTGCAAATTCAGAATAATAAAAGTTTCATAAAAAATTTCAAAATAGGGAAAGGGTTACAAGTTTATATCAAATAACTGCCAAGACTATTTCAAATATAACAATCTCAAAATAACATTCTAAGCCCTATAGCAGTTCCATCCAACCCTTCACTGAGTCCAGTTCTGATCATCTTGATAACCTGAAAAATGAATGTAAGGTTGAGTACTCTACACTATCTAACACACAAACAAGCATAGAGTCTCACCTTACACATAATTCACATTATTTCTAACACACTTCACACAATATAATCACAGACAACATTATCACACATTTCATTTCCATTCATAACCGATGCACTCGTGGCACCAAAACATTTATACACGCGTGCGTTCGCTCACGCAGCCACACTCACTGTGGCACTGTGATCACAGATTCTCGCCATGAATGGTCGTTGGTTACCCCCGCCTCACGGATACCATGTGGGCAGTCACAGGTCACTCAGCAAAGGTAGTGGTTAGAAGTCTAGTCAAGAGGAGAGTGTGTAGCCCGTGGTGCACACACGCTCACTGTTGGTGTCATCACCACTCTCTCTTTCCCAAGGTATTTCTACCGTCCTTATCTTTTACACCTCTAGTGTATCGCTGAACCATTCACAATTTCATTACAACGACTTTTAACACGCCTCATTCATACACATTTCAGTCACACACACAATATTTATGTTTGCACAGAACACATAGCCCACGTTCATTCATAATACTTAGCACATAGCCTACATTCGTTTACATCACACGACACTTAGGCCTGTATTCATTTGTATTACACGACGCTCAGGCCCACATTGAAATCATATTATAGGGCATAGAGGCCCATTTTCATTTACAACACTCGGCACATATATCCCTATAATGTTACGCTACATTTTCCACATTTAGCTACATTCCTCATGCCATCCATACCCATTTCCAACTACTTACATTATTCAATCATCAATCAAAGATATAATCACACACATTTCAATCAAGGGTATGTCAACCCAATCACAATAAACTCACATTACATTCAAACACACAATAATTTTCATCAACACACGCATTCTTACTCTCTATCTCAATCACATTACAAAAACATAGCAATTAAATAGATTTTCAAGCAATTGAGATAGGGTAGAGTCCCCCTTACCTCGGATTGAAGACTCACACGCAAATCGACCCAAGGAAGTGCTCCCCACACAGATTTCATCCTAAATACACGGAAGAATTCCATAAGAACCCAGGGAAATCACGAAAACAAGGAAGGGAAGTGAAAAACCAAAACCCTAACCATTAAAACTCACCTCCAAGCGTTCCCAACACAAATCCAACCTTCAATCTAGCTTCCAAACAGCTTTGGAGGCAATTTAATCGGTGAATAGGGTTGTGGGTCGAGGGAATCAAAGAAATTTCGAAGGGAAGGTGAGAAATAACCTTTCTCGAACCCTAACCACCTTTAAATCCTATCTGGTTGCGACACTCTCGCTACAACGAGATATTCTCGCTACAGTAAGGGGACCTTGCCTCAGCGACACTGTCCCTCACTACAGCGAAGAAGTCAGACAAAACTACATTCTGGTTTCTGTAGAATCTAGCTACAGGGAGACCCTCTCGCTATAGCAAGATTGCACCCAGAAATGTATCTCAAAATGTGGCTTTGTCGCTACAGCAACAAGGCGACAGTTTCATCCTTCTCTCCCAGCTACAACGAGAAAGGCACAGTTTTACTCTTCAAGCCTAGGGCTCTCTTGCTACAGCAAGAATATCCTGCAGCAGCATCCACACTTAGCCCGCATACACACACCACACATATATGTATATATATAATCAATCTATCTGAGTCCAGTCTCAATCCACATCATTACACACAAGTATTAATCATACTCATTTCAATCAACATACGTCATAGGGCAACCCACATATAAATACATACATATATATATATATATATATATATACTTTAATAATTAAACAATATTACAAAATCTGGGGCGTTACATAGTGATCTGCAATCCTCACCGGATACACATCATAGGACAAGTCCTCTCTTACTTGAAATGGGTCAAGTTCGATCACGTGAGAAAGGTCCAACACATACTTCCTAAGTTGTGACACATGGAACATTGGATGTAGGTTTCAGAGATTCAGAGGCAATGTTATCCGGTATGTTGCAGGACCAATTCTACTAAATACTTCGAATGGCCGAATAAACTTAGAAGATAGCTTCCGAGATTTCAGAGCTCTCTCAACTCCGGTCATAGGTGAGACATTCAAAAACATATGGTCATCCACTTGAAACTCCAAAGGCTTGTTCCTCTTATCATAGTAACTCTTCTGCTTATCCTGTGCAGCCTTCATCTTCTTTTTGATCATCTTGATTTATTTATTCTGCTTCTGAATTATATCTGGTGCACACAAAGTAGCCTCTCCATTCTCATACCAGCACAAAGGAGTCCTACACCTTTGCCCATACGAGGCCTTAAATGGTGTCATCCCAATGCTAGCATGATAACTGTTATTGTAAGTGAACTCCACTAATGGTAGACATTCTTCCCAAGGCCCTTGCTGCTGCTCAATCACATAGGCTCTCAAAAGATCCTCTAGGGATTAGATAGTCCTCTCCGTCTGACCCGGTTTGTGGGTGATAAGTCGAACTAAGCCTTAACTTAGTTCCCAACGCCCTCTGCAGGCTCTCTCAAAACCTTGAGGTAAACTTCGGATCTCTATCGGATACCATGCTAGTCGGCACTCCATGCAGCCTGACTATCTTCCTCACATATAAATTTGCAAGTCTCTCTAACTTATACTTCATGTTGATCGGGAAAAAGTGTGCAGCCTTAGTCAACCGATCCACTATCACTCAAATGGCATCATGGTTGTTCTTGATCCTCAGTAACCCATAAACAGAGTCCACAGAAATACTGTTCCATTTTCACTCAGGAATCTCCAACGGTTGCAACAACCCAGGTGGACGTTAGTGCTTTGCCTTTGCCTTCTGACAAGTTAAGCATCTAGCCATATATTTGGCCACATCCCTCTTCATCCTATTCCACCAAAAACTCTTTTGGAGATTCTGATACATTTTGGTCGCACCGGGATGGAAACTCATCCTGCTCTTATGTGTTTCCTCAAGTATCATTTGCTTCAACTCATCCACTTGGAAAATGCGCACTTGGTTCTTAAACTTAATCACCCCATTCTCATCACTGTGGAACTCCAAATCTTTCCCTTCGCCCTTTTGCCTCATCATGTCTTGCAGGAAGACATCTCCCAGCTGAATATCTCGGACGTACACTAAGAAATCATTGTGAATCATCATTGCTCCGAGATACAAACTCCCCGACCTCACCTCCATGGCCAAGTTCATGTCCTGAAATTCCTCAATCAATTCCATCTTTTTCACCATCATTGCTACCATATGCAATGATTTCCTGCTCAATGTATCGGCCACCACATTTGCCTTATCAGGATGGTAAGACAACGTGAAATCGTAATCCTTGAGGAATTCTATCCACCTCCTCTGCCGCATGTTCAACTCCCTCTAATCAAATAAGTACTTCAAACTCTTGTGGTCACTGAATACCTCAAACCTCGCTCCATATAGGTAGTGCCTCCACACCTTAAAGGCAAAAACCATAGCTTCTAACTCCAAGTCCTAAGTCGGATAGTTAACTTTATGTAGGCGTAACTGTCTTGAGACATAGGCAACCACTCACCCATCTTGCATCATAACACACCTAAGTCCATGCTCGGATGCATCATAATACATATCGAATTTCTGCTTTGGGTCGGACAAAACCAACACAGGTGCTGAAGTCAACTTTATTTTCAGCCCCAAGAAACTGCCTTCACACCCTTTGGTCCACTTAAACTCCTTTTCCTTGTAGGTTAGCTTCGTTAAGGGCAAAGCTATCTTAGAAAATCCTTCAATGAACTTTCTATAATAGCCTGCTAGTCCCAGAAAACTGCAGATTTCAGTCACATTCGTCGGCCTCGGCCATCCAGCTACTGCGTCCACCTTTGTAGGGTTTACCATAATTCCCTCCTTTGACACTACATGCCCCAGAAACTGGATATAGGATAACCTGAACTCTTATTTTGAGAATTTGCATAAAATTGCCGCTCCTTCAGAATTTGCAAAATAATTCTCAAGTGCTCGGCATGCTTCTCTTGAGTCTTTGAATAAATCAGAATGTCATCGATGAATACCACCACACACTTATCCAAAAACTAATGGAAGATTCTGTTCATATAGTTCATGAATACCATCGGTGCATTGGTCACTCCACACAGCATCACCAAATACTCATAGTGACCATAATACGTCCTGAATGTCGTCTTGGGTACATCCTCATCCTTAACCCTAATCTAATGGTACCCCGATCTCAAGTCAATCTTTGAAAACACCGAAGCTCCTCTCAATTGGTCCATCAAGTCATCAATTCTTGGGAGTGGATACTTGTTCTTGATCGTCACCTTGTTTAGCTGTCGTTAGTCCACACATATCCTCATGCTTCCATCTTTCTTCTTCACCAAGAGCACTAGTGCTCCCCATAGTGACACACTAAATCTCACAAACCGCTTCTGTAGCAAGTCCTTCACTTGTTTCTTAACCTTCACCAACTCCACTAGTGACATCCTATATGGTGCCACAGAAATCAGGCTTGCTCTCGGAATGAGGTCAATAGCAAATTCTATTTCTCTATTAGGTGGCAATTCAAAAACATCTTCAGGGAAAACTTCCAAGAAGTCCCTCATCACCGGGATATACTCTGCCTCCACCACGCTCTCAGCTTCCATTAAGAACAGGACCATAAAGGCCTTAGCGTTTACTGTGTTCTCCCACACTCCTTAGCTCAAAAGCCTTGAAACTTCCAACATTGATGAGCCAAAAGTCAAAGTCTTCTCTTTGCAGTCCAACAACACATGGTTGGCAGCTAGCCAATCCATCCCTAAGATCACATCCAATTGAGAAAGAGGCAAACAGATTAATTCCACCTTGAATTCCCTACCATGCACCATTATTGAACACCCTAAACATGCCCACGACGTCATAACCAGTTTACCTGTAGGAGTAGTCACCATAACATTGCACGGTAATTCAGTCACATACATATCCAGACTCTTCACATAGTCCACAGAAACGAAAGAGTGCATAGCATTCAAGCCAAACAACACATCATGCAATCTGCCTTTAATTACACATTTACCTCGGATCAGCTCCTCAGATTGTGAAGCCTCTGCTCCACTCATGGCAAAGACTCTTCCAGGGATACTCAGCTTCGGCCACGTGCTTCCTCTCAATTTTGGCCTTTGAGTTGTACTCTTACTGCCACTCCTCTTGGCAGCCCAGCACACATTGGTAGTGTGCCTCAACTTTTCACAGTTGCTACAGTTCATCCGTGACTGTGGGTAGTCCCTGACCATGTGCAGTCCTCCACACTTAGAGCATTTGATCGATCCACTGAAAGAGCTTGATCCCGAACCACTCCTATTACTCTTCTCTTGAGATGAACTCCTTCTGAACTGTGAGTGGTTGGAGCTTGAATATGGCCCCTTAGAGAACCTAAGAAGTCTCCTATCTTGTCTCACTGGACCGGTTCCCCTAGTGTCCATTGTCTTCCCCTTGAATTAGGCTCAAAAAATTTGCTCTTGCTCACTAGGGTGGGCAAGTCTGTCAGTTGAAACACACTAACTGCAGCCCGGATGTCTGGTCTTAGCCCATGCTTAAACTGAGCACACAAGTCCTCCTCTCCATCCCCATGCTGATAGTGGGACCAGTACTTCATTAACTCTTGAAAGTTTGCAGCATATTCTCCTACAATCGTACTTCCTTGGTTTAGCTCAAGGAATTCTCTAGCCTTATGCTTCTTCAGATCTCGGGGAAAGTAATTCCCTAGGAAAATTGTCTTGAAAGCTTCCCACTGAATAAAGCCACCTTCCTATGGCAAAGTCTGACTTGCAAACCTCCACCAGTCTTCCGCTTCTCCACACAGTAAGTATGTGGCATAGGCAACCTTGTGCTCCTCACGGCACCCCATTGCATTGAAAACTTTCTCTATATCAGCCAACGACCTCTGAGCTCACTTAGGGTCAAATCCTCCCTCAAACTTTAGAGGATCATGCTTAGTGAAGGCAGACAATCCTCGGTATTCAGTCGACTCTCTGCCTTTGTTATGCACCAAGGCCTCTAGAATTTAAGACATGAATTCCATGAGATCATTGGTGCCGCTTGCTCCTTTACCTCTACTAGCCATTCTAATCTAAGCTAGCAAACAATTCAACAAACCACACTGAACTCATCAGGTAATCAAAACAAATCAACAATCAACTTGGACGCTTTAGCCCAATACCCCAGTCTGGTTTGGATGAACTACTCTAATACCAAAATTGTAACCCTTTAACTTTAATAAATAATTTTTGTAAAATGGGAAAAATAAAAATTTTATTTAAATAATTCCTAACACACGGTTTCATCAAAGTGTTTCAAAATAAGAAGGGTTTACAAATTTATATCAAATAACTGCTACAGAATTAATTCAATTACATCATATTTTCAAAATAAATCTAAGCCCTACAGCAGTATCATCCACCCCTTCACTGAGCCCGGTGCTGATCGTCTTAATTGGTCACCTGAAAATAAATATAAAGGTGAGTACTATATATTATCCCACACACACAAGCAAGCATAGAGTCTCACCTTGCACATTTCACATGTTTTCTAACACAATTTAAATCAAGCATTCATAACCACAAGCAACATTTTATTTCAATTCACAAACAGGTGTGCTCACTGCACCAACAAACATCCCACACACATGTGCACCCATTGCACGTAGCCACGCTCACTATGTCACTGTATCACAGTTCCACACCATGGATAGTCGTCAGTTATCCCGCCTCACTGATACAACGTGTGTGGTCACAAGTCGCTCGACAAAGGCGTTGGTTAGAGGTCTAGTCAGGAGGAGAGTGTGCGGCCGGTGGTGCACCCATGCTCACTATTGATGTCACCACCACCCTCTCTTCCCCAAGGTATTTCTACCATCCCCATCCTCCACACGTCCAATGTATCGCTGAACCATTCATAGTATATTCACAATCGCATTTGACATGCCATTTCACACATATTTCAGCCACATACAGTATTCATATTCGCACACGGCATACATGCCCACATTATTTCACAACACATGGCACATATGCCCATATTCCACCACACAAGGTTCAATCATACAGTTTTTATCATAATATTCCTACAACCATTCATTTCATTGTACCCAATGTCTCTCAATATCGATAGCACTAAGCTCCGCACAATCTTTCCACCACAATTTCACTACAATCAATCAAATCTACCAAACACACACATTCTAAACCATCCATATGACAATGCATAGCAAATAATGTGGCATTCAAACATAATGACATAGGGTAGAGTCCCCCCTTACCTCGAAGTGAAGACCCACACACAGAATCAACTAAGGAGGCATTCCTGATGAATCCACTTTTTATTATATTTTTACTTGCCTTTTTGGTGCTCCTTGATAGAAAAAATGGACTTAGATAGTGAAAATAATATAGAAATCACATTTTGAGTAAATATCATAGATTTATTAATTTTTAGTTAATTTGCATTTAATTACGTAGATATAAATTGAAATTTTAATTATTTTGATAATTTTGCAGAGTTCCCAAGTTAATTTTGAGAAATCTTGGCCCTTGGATGAAAGTTGCCCCCAAAGTAGCCACTTTTAGGAGCAAAAGTGGCAACTACAGCAAGTCTGGGCATTAAAGGTTCCAAAGTAGCCACTTTCAAGACCAAAAGTGGCAACTACAGCAAGTCTGAGCATTAAAGGTTCCAAAGTAGCCACTTTCAAGACCAAAAGTGGCAACTCCAGAAGCTCCAGGGATGCTAAATTGGAAGCATGATGCGGGTGGCCACTATTGCCTTTTAAAGTGGCTACGCGCATCCAAAGTAGCCACTTTCAAGACCAAAGTGGCAACTCCAGAAGCTCCAAGCATGATGCGCGTGGTCACTATTGCCTTTCAAAGTGGCTACGCGCATCCAAAGTTCCCACTTTCAAGACCAATAGTGGCAACTCCCGAGAATTGAGAGATTTACGAGAATTGCGCGTGGACACTTTCAAGCCCCAAAGTGGACACTTTCAAAGGCAAAAGTGGACACTTTGCTGACATGTCATCCACTATAAATAGAATTTAGGAATTAGGGTACAGGACTTTTGACACTTTACACAATTTTCCTTTGCCAAATTGGGATAATTTCTTATGACATTGGAGTCTTGGGTGACAGCCAAGGGTCCTCTATAGGTTTTAATTTCTAATTTCCCTTTTGATTTTTGTTGAATTTACATTAATGTTGTTTACGTTCTTGCATTTCTTTCTCTCATTTGTGAAGCCCATTCATGTGGAGGGCTAAACTTTCTTGTAATTCCTAGTCAATGCACATGAATCTTGAATTCTTGGGATTAATTGCAATACAAATCTTTCTTTCCTTGAATTTATTAACCCCAATCTCTGAATGAAATGGAATTTGCATGAAGGGAACATTGCTTAATGAACCCTAATTTACCTAACGAAATTCTAATTCAAAATTGCTTAATTTTGATTAATCCTTGAGGTTGCTTAATCTTAGGGATAGAGATTGGAGCCCATTAAGATGCTTAATTTTAATTGGGATGTTAAAGTTAGTCTTCGCTTGTTAGATTAACTTAATTCAAGGGAAAGAAAGGGGATTATTGAATCATTTGAAAGAATAATGATGGAACTCATTGCTTGACTAGGGATTACTCATTTTAATTGATTGAATTTTATTAATTTACATTTCGTTCTTGATTAAAATCCAGAAATTGACAAACCTCCCCCCAATTTACTTGCTTTAAAAAATATGTTTACACTTATTCGATGTATGTTCCCAACCAAAGATTCCTTGGAGACGACCTAGGATAACACCCTAGTACTGCATTCATTTCTTTGCATATTTGATGAGGATTAACGACAATCTTTTGCATGACAAATAGCTAAATATCGTTTCATCAAATTGGCGCCATTGCCGGGGAGTTTTTGGTGCTGAACTTATGTTGAACATGCTTGGTACTCTGTTTTTGTGTCTTGCATGTTAGTGTGTTTGTTTCATTTTGAGTTTTTGTGTAGTGTTGAAAGTCATACGAATTTAGTAGTCTGTTTCTGCATTGTTATTGCAAGATTTTCTGCATCATTTCCTTCATTCATGTGCTGAAAATTTTCAATCACTCACTTCCAATTTTCTGCACTCATTTTGTTGCATAATTCTCTGTTTTTCTGCACTTTTGCTGCATAATTCTGCAGAGAGATTTTTAAATTGCTCTTGTTATTTCATTTACTTAATTTGCTTTCAATTTAGTTAGTTGATATCTAGTGCATGACCTGATCAAACCCTGGAGATTTGTATCCATTAGACCAGGAGATTGATAGGACTTTTTATAGAAACATTAGGACACATAGAGATCACTCCGAACACTCTGAATCATCATCATCACCTACTGCATCTTTGCAATCTGTGACACCAAATTCTGTTTACTCTTCCCCATTTTCACTTAACTCTAGTTTTGGAGCAATGGCAGGTGACGAGAGGACTCTTAAGGAGCTAGCTGCACCGGATGTCACATACCAAACATTGTGCATCCAATATCCAGATGTGGATGCCCCTTTTGTTTTGAAAACTGGATTAATTCACCTTCTACCTAAATTCCATGGTTTTGCAGGTGAAGACCCTCACAAACACTTGAAGAAGTTTCACATTGTATGTTCCACCATGAGACCTCAAGGTGTTCCGGAGGAGCATGTCAAATTGAAGGCTTTTCCTTTCTTATTAATGGACACTGCAAAGGATTGGCTCTACTACCTTCCTCCCGGATCTATTACAAGTTGGGACAACCTCAAAAGACTCTTTCTAGAGAAATTCTTTCCAGCATCCCGAGCTGCATCCATAAGAAAAGAAATTTGTGGAATTAGACAGCTAGAAAGAGAAACTCTCTATGAATACTGGGAGAGGTTTAAAAGACTATGTGCCAGCTGCCCCCACCACCAAATTAGCAATCAATTGCTGATCCAGTACTTCTATGAGGGATTACACCCAATGGATAGGAGTATGATCGATGCAGCGAGTGGAGGAGCTTTGGTAGACAAGACCCCTGTGGCAGCCAGGAACTTGATAGAAAACATGGCTGCCAACTCCCAGCAATTTGCAACTAGACAGAATTCTTGTGTTACTAGAGGTGTGCATGAAGTTCAAGCTACAAAACCAAACAAATTGGAGCATAAGATTGATGAGCTAGCCTCCATGGTAAAACAATTAGATGTAATGCAAAAGAGTGTTGTCTCTGTAACACCTCCACCACCAGTTCCAGCTACACTTTGTGGAATATGCTCAGCTGCAGATCATTATATAGACAGCTGCCCCACATTGCAGGAGTTAGATACTCCTGAAGGTAACCCCCAAGCCTATGCTACAAATATTTACACTAACAAATTTCCTTTTCAGCAGCAGCAGCAACAACCAAACTAGGACCTTTCTTCAAACCGGTACAACCCGGGCTGGAGAAATCATCCAAACT